CAGCTACCAGCATAGCTGGTATTGGAACTACACGTTTATGGTGAACCTTGTGTAGAGGGACTTCGTGTATACGATGGAACTTCAAGTTGGATATGGGCATTCCAATTTCTGCTGTTAAAACCGCAATATTTCAGGAAATTAGGGAAGACAGAAGAGCAGTCACTGACACACAAAGGCCAGAAAGCAAGAGTATCAAGAGCTATGACATGTTTAGAACCGAGAATTATATGTACGGGCAGCATAAACCATCCACTAGGCAGTGTGACATTGTAACTGCCAGCATTAGGCCGGGATATCGATATTTATGGCAGGTGGCTGCAGGTAATGAATCCCCCCCAATGGTGAACATTCCAATTGTAAACTATGTGAACAAGAGCTGGGACATACTCTCCAACACTATATCTGTGATTGCCTTGTTATAAGTGACTTCAGACCAAATAGTGTGAAGTACTTTGAGCTCTGTAATTACTTCAAACACTCAGGAATATTGGAAGATATTCTTGTGCTGTACCCAGATTTTGCTAGTGGACACTAATAGATCAGTCTTACACTTCATGTTCTCTCCTGATTTTAGTCAGAGTTGGTTTGTTTTTGTATCGAGGAAGGTATTTTCTCCCCTGATTCTATGTTTGACTAACCATCCTGTGAGATATTAGATGTACTTATAGCTAGTTTTGATCTACACTGTGTAATCTATCATATATAATAGAGTAAGTAAGTAATTAACAAAAGAAGGCACCAAACCGGGAAGGCTATGTAGCACCATCAAATGTGCGGGATAATCAGAGGGCGCTAAATATCACCAAGGACGCAAATACGATAACAAACGCATCAGGCGAACGATATCAAAAGTATCCGAGTCGCCAAGAATTCTATCAAGGGACAAGCGACTGCGGGGGACGGTCGGAAAACAAGACACACTCGTCTTGGAAGTCAGGACATTCAACAAGGATATGCACGACCGTAAGAGGGACAATGCAATTTGGACAATAAGTAGCAGGGCGGCGCTCCATTAAGTGACCGTGAGTTAAACGGGTATGGCCAATACGTAACCTAGCCAGAGCTGTTTCCCACCTCCGGTTACGGTGGTAGGAGGTAGGCCACTGGGTACTCTTTAAGAGTACGCAGTTTGTTACCAATAACAGAAGACAACCCTTCAAGAAGAAGGTTTCGGGCAACTCCTGAAACCGTCCGAGTCTCAGAAACCTCTAAACCCTGCCCTGACCCTGAAGCCCTCAGATGCTTAGGAGCCGGAAGCAAGAATGGGGGGGGGGAACAAATGAACCACAGCAGGGGAAGAACAAGGGGGCGCGGATGGAACCAAGGCCGAAGCGACCAACACCCCAAAGTACAGGTTCCTATAAACAAAACGGGGCAGCCTCAGGGCATCTGGGGAAGCAACCAACCTAGCGCGCTGCAGCAACCAAAACCTATCCTGCAACGCACAAGCTGCCTGCGCCCAAATAATATCATCAGACTGGATGAACTGAGTCACATACAAGCAACAAAGCTCACAGGACTTTGAGTCGAATGGGTCACCGACCCAACAGGCAGCATGACAAGAGGCAAAAACAATGAGCGTTGCCCTGAGACAAGGGGACAGAGCAACCCTCAAACCAGCAAAAAGCGAGAGGAGACTCGGGTCACATCCATTGAACCCGAGCGCCCTGCAGGGTTTTCCAGGGGCCCCTAGACTGGGTCTGCTACAGGTTATCCCAGGCAGGGTACTGCTAACTGGCGCCCAAGCTACCAACCAACAATACTAAAGCTGAACCCATGGGACGTGTCCACTCAAGGGCGAAGCAGAGGGAACCACCAAACAAAAGCAACCCTAATATAAAGGGGGAGGAACATCAAGGCAGACCTCCCCTCCCCACCAGGCAAAAAGAAAAAGAAAAGAAAAACCTCACAAGAGGACAGCGTACCCAAAGGGAACACGGCTGGCCACTGTTATAGGTGAAAACTAGCTTACCCCAAGACAAACAAGGGAGGAATTCTCCAAACACTCGGGGCGGTCAATCGCCAAGCAGCGAAAGACCTACAGAGGTAGACCCAAGGTGACTTGTGGAAGGGAACCCCCAAGCCCCAAAGGCAGTACTTACAGGACACTTAGGGAAGGTAGCCCTAGGCGCATGCAGCCCGAGTACCTTGGAAGACGTCTCCCAGCTCACACACCACCGAAGAGAAGTACTGAACCCAGGCACAGCACAAAGAAAATTTGGAGCTGGAGCCACAATGACTTAGTCTTTTCCCATCAGCCGAGGAACTAGAGGTGTGGATCGCCAGTCCGAGGGTCTGGGGCTCTCCCTTCCCCCGGGAGGGGGAAGGGAGAGGCGCGGCTCGTGTGACGTCATGCTTGTTTGCTTGTTTTTCCTTGGGGAAGTTCTGTCCATTTGTTTTGTTATTTTCGTTAGTTTTACCAGAATAGAGGTTTGTTTTGAGGCGGTTACCTTTCTGGGTGCCTGTCCCAGTCAATGGCAGATACAGAAGGCCCCAAAATCACATGTGCATTTCTATAGGCCATTGCTCCTCGTGCCTCTCTGAGAGGGGCCAGGTTCTGGCTGTGGTCCCCGGTAGGCCTAGAACTCCACCCACATCGACTGATGCCAAAAGTTAGGACTATCCCTATCAGCCTGGATAGCTGGATAGCTCCCAGGAGCCATAGGGGTTTCCCCCAGAAAAGCAGGCAAACAATGAAATTCTTAACAAAGAAGCATGGCCGCAGTCGTCACTATGCGTGATAGACTTGTAAATAGACTACTTTGCCCCGCGTGATAGACTTGTAAACAAACTGAGAGTGCGCTTCACCCCACGCCCCTAGCACCACGCACTCGTTCGACCCACACGCGTACGAACAGACATCGTCTTCCAAGTAAACCGCCATGTACCAATTCAAATTTTACGATGAATGACGTCGTTTTCTAAAAAATTAGTCTTTTAGGGTAGTTGTCAACCGAGGTTCCACTGCACTACTTATCAGCTAGTGTCGTAGTATTTGCTAAGCGATGGGCCTTTATTAAGTTAATATATATAGGAATTAAGAAAGACAAGCATTAATAATCAGAATATTTATTTACATTCCATCATAAATTATTTTACTACATGGTAACAAAGCAGCATCACATCATACATAACTTAACTAAATTTATACAAAGTTTTTTCTACTGAGGGTGAAACAGACTGTGCTGAAGCATCTCTCCTACTCCAGGGAAGGAATATGGAAAAAAGTCTCAGTGATTGTGCAGGAAGTTCTTCCACTTTTATCACTTCGTCATCCTCTATATCTACTTCTTCTAGCTCTACCCCTTTCAACATTTCCACATCTTCTCCCTCCTCCACATACACCACTTCCTCAACCTCAACCTCTACCTCCATCTCTTCATCATTGTTTGACATGTCCGGATGGCCATATGCTAACGACCGAGATGAACTTAGAATGTAGCTTTTATCATATAATGTTGACAAACCTCTGCATGTACTGCCACATGTGCAGAGCTTTCCTTGCACATTTCATATAGATCTGGACACAAAACGGATTGAAGTGTTCGTTTCAAGTATGTGTTGAAATGACTCGTATGACAGTTTCTCTTAGTGGTATGGTACTCCCTTACACTTAACAGGTATGTTCCCCATCCTGCATGGTGAAAGAGTATGTTTTATGTCTAAGAGCAATTAATTGTTCAATGATCTTAGACCCAATTTTTGACTTGAGCAAGTCTAGCTCACCTTCACGTGCTGTGGAATATGATGGGCAAGTGTCAAGAAAGTTGGTAAAATCCATACAGTCAAAGAGAGGAGACTTATTCAACTTTTCAAACACATCCTGACAGGTGAGGTTTAATGTTGAAAGAGTCTGTCTCTGTATATAATAAACTAGCTTTAATCTTGTACGCTGATTTTACCACATTGTACCAGAACTCGTAGAGACGTTTCTTAGCAATTTGGGGTATGTGATAGCCAAGATTTGTTGGAGTGTTAACCAGGAGAGACTTCTTCTTGATAGTGCAGATCACACGGTCTTTATTCAACAACAGATTATGCTTGAAGAATGGGTTACGAGCGCATTTCAGGAAGGTTCTACGATCAGTACCCAAGTAGTGTTTTTTCCTATACTGTATTTAGATACATCTGAGAAACTCTTTCCATATACAGTACAGTGACACCTCGGCTTACGAATGCTCCTCTTTACGAACTTTTCGAGTTACGAGACCAATTGCTTCGTAAAATCCGAATCGGGTTATGAACTTTGCCTTGGGTAACGCAGTTTGTTGATACACGCGTGGCCAACCTAGCGCGTGGTGGCACGGCAACTGCATCTAAGTTTACGAGTGCCTCCTGCCTAGTGACAATCGCGCCTGAATTCTTTGCAAAGAATTTCAGTGTTGTTCGGATTTTTGGGTATTTGAACATAGAAGTAATCATTATATATCTCGCTATGGGTCCCAAGAAAGTCAGTGGTAAGATTCAACCTATGAAAATAGTTGTGAGTAGAAGCAGTAAAGGATGTCCCTTCCTCATTAAAAAAATGTGTAGTGTATGGGAAGAACTGCAAAGTTTTGTTGAAAACCTCACCCAGATAAAGCTGTAGCAGGCTGTTGCACTGACCTTTTAAATGACAATGTGATGTTTCACCACAGACAAGTGTTAAAATGTAGGAAAAAAGTGTCTTTAGACAGATTCTTAGCAAGACAAGCAAACAGTGAGCCACAATCCTAGTGGTACTTCTGCAAAACGTAGGAGAGAGAGAGTACCCCAGAAAAATCATCACTGCCTGATGTTATAATGGAAGGGGACTCCCCTTCCAAACACTAACACCTCTCTTCCTCCCTCCCTCCCTCCCTCCCTCCTCACCGTATTCCACACCCCAACAAGAGTCATCAATAAAGGTAAGCAATAACTTGTACATACTTTAGTACTAAAGATTTGGGTAAATTAGTATAAATTTACTTTGAAGTTAATATTTTTGGGAGCATGGAATGGATTAATTAAATTTACATTATTTCTTATGGGGAAAATTCACTTCGGTTTATGAATTTTCGGGTTACGAACCGTCTCTGGGAATGATTAAATTCATAAGCTGAGGTACCACTGTATAGTTTGATACAAGTTTGAAAGTTTTTTTTTAATCGCGCATTTGGTAGTGGCTCGTTCACAAACATTGGTTTCAATTAAATATTTAAGGTATATCTCCTAGTCAAATTCATAGACGTTGTGAACTTTGGCTACTGCTAATCCAATACGCATAAATAAATGTAACAAATCAATACTAACCAGGTAAACTTTCTGAGGAAGATGTGAAGCAATTAGTGCTGTTTTAAGGCAGACCACATCTTTCTTCTGTAAGACAAAATCTGATTCAAAGATTTTAAAATTTAAACCATTAGTCATCATTATTAGGTGCAAAATACAAGAGGTATACAATTCAGTTCCTTTCACAACTAAAGTGGCAAACTATAATTCATAGCAAAGTGCAGCTACTTTTTTTTCACAAATTTTTTAGCTTCATTTAACATCCGCTTAGTGTCTTCCACGTCTGCTTCATCTGCATCCATTGCCGAGTCTGAGCCAGACTCCGTTGGTGCGTAATCATCTGAACTACCATCATTCAGGAATGGGTCATCATAATCATATTCATCAGATCCACTCTCTGCATCCTGTTTCTGCCGACGAGCTAAAATTAAAATAGCGATTAAAATAATTTTACTGCATACAAGAAATCTGGCTAGCTAGAGAGCCAGATAAACAAGCAAGCTTTCTTGCTTATATGTTAAGTCTAGTAACTTCGTGAACATGAACAAGTTTTAGGTTGTAACCTTCTTGTCATATAATTGCTTACCAAATCTGGTAACCATTTGTCCTCAGGACATATTAACCCTTCAAATGCGCATGTTAGACAAGGATGATTGCACCATTTCTGAGCCTAGTATGTGAGTAAAGGAGGGATAATTTAGAGTACTGTGTAAGATTTAAAAGTCCTGCATGGTAAAGGGGCAACCTGGTTGATACCTTGTTGATTGGGTTCTGGGAGTTCTTCTACTCCTCAAGCCCGGCCCGAGGCCAGGCTTGACTTGTGAGAGTTTAGTCCACTAGGCAATTGCTTACAGCGGCCCGCAGGCCCACATACCCACCGCAGCCCGGTTGGTCCGGCACTCCTTGGAAGAGTACTCACCTAATTGTGCTTGCGGGGGTTGAGCTCTGGCTCTTTGGTCCCGCCTCTCAACCGTCAATCAACAGGTGTACAGGTTCCTGAGCCTATTGGGCTCTATCATATCTACACTTGAAACTGTGTATGGAGTCAGCCTCCACCACATCACTTCCTAATGCATTCCATTTGTCAACCACTCTGACACTAAAAAAGTTCTTTCTAATATCTCTGTGGCTCATTTGGGCACTCAGTTTCCACCTGTGTCCCCTAGTGCATGTGCCCCTTGTGTTAAATAGCCTGTCTTTATCTACCCTATCAATTCCCTTGAGAATCTTGAATGTGGTGATCATGTCCCCCCTAACTCTTCTGTCTTCCAGCGAAGTGAGGTTTAATTCCCATAGCCTCTCCTCGTAGCTCATACCTCTCAGCTCGGGTACTAGTCTGGTGGCAAACCTTTGAACCTTTTCCAGTTTGGTCTTATCCTTGACTAGATATGGACTCCATGCTGGGGCTGCATACTCCAGGATTGGCCTGACATATGTGGTATACAAAGTTCTGAATGATTCTTTACACAAGTTTTTGAATGCCGTTCTTATGTTGGCCAGCCTGGCATATGCCGCTGATGTTATCCTCTTGATATGGGCTTCAGGGGGCAGGTCTGGCGTGATGTCAACCCCCCAAGTCTTTTTCTCTCTCTGACTCTTGAAGAATTTCATCTCCCAGATGATACCTAGTATCTGGCCTCCTGTTCCCTACGCCTATCTTCATTACATTACATTTGCTTGGATTAAACTCTAACAACCATTTGTTCGATCATTCCTTCAGTTTGTCTAGGTCTTCTTGAAGCCTCAAGCAGTCCTCCTCTGTCTTAATCCTTCTCATAATTTTGGCATCGTCAGCAAACATTGAGAGAAATGAATCTATACCCTCCGGGAGATCATTTACATATATCAGAAACAAGATAGGACCGAGTACAGAGCCCTGTGGGACCCACTGGTGACTTCACGCCAATCTGAGGTCTCAACCCTCACCGTAACTCTCTGCTTCCTATTGCTTAGATACTCCCTTATCCACTGGAGCACCTTACCAGCTACACCTGCCTGTCTCTCTAGCTTATGTACCAGCCTCTTATGCGGTACTGTGTCAGAGGCTTTCCGACAATCCAAGAAATTGCAGGCCGCCCAGCCTTCTCTTTCTTGCTTAATCTTTGTCACCTGGTCGTAGAATTCTATTAAGCCAGTCAGGCAAGATTTACCCTCCCTGAATCCATGTGGGCGATTTGTCACGAAGTCCCTTCTCTCCAGATGTGTTACTAGGTTTTTTCCCACGATCTTCTCCATCACCTTGCATGGTATACAAGTCAAGGACACTGGCCTGTAGTTCAGTGCCTCTTGCCTGTCGCCCTTTTTGTATATTGGGACCACATTTACTGTCTTTCATATTTATGGTAGGTCTCCCGTCTCCATTGACCTACTATACACTATGGAGAGTGGCATGCAAAGTGCCTCTGCACACTCTTTCAGTACCCATGGTGAGATCTCATCTGGACCAACAGCCTTTCTAACATCCAGATCCAGCAGGTCTCTCTTGACCTCCTCGCTCATAATTTCGAACCCTTCCAAGGCCGCCTGGTTTACTTCCCCTTCTCCTAGCACAGTGACCTCACCTTGTTCTATTGTGAAGACCTCCTGGAACCTCTTATTGAGTTCTTCACACACCTCTTTGTCATTCTTTGTATACCTGTCCTCGCCTGTTCTAAGTTTCATTACCTGTTCTTTCACTGTTTTCACTGTTTTCCTCCTGATGTGACTATGGAGCAGCTTTGGTTCGGTCTTGGCTTTGTTTGCTATATCATTTTCATAATTTTTCTCAGCTTCTGTTCTCACCCTGACATACTCATTCCTGGTTCTCTGGTATCTCTCTCTGTTTTCTGGTGTTCTGTTATTCCGGATGTTCCTCCACGTACTTTTGTTCAGTCCCTTTGCTTCCATCACATGCCCTATTATACCATGGATTCTTCTGTTGCATCTCGGATTTTTCCCTTTGGGACGGGATGAACCTGTTTACTGCCTCCTGACACTTTTGGGTGACATAGTCCATCATATCTTGTACAGACTTATCTCTGAGGTCTGTGTCTCAAGGTATTTCCCTCAGGAAATGTCTCATCTCCTCATAGTTCCCCTTTCGGTATGCCAGCCTTTTGTTTCCTAGTTCTTTTCTGGGGGAGATAATTCCTAGCTCTACCAGGTACTCAAAATTTAATACACTGTGGTCACTCATTCCCAAGGGTGCTTCCATCTTAAGGGTAATTTAGGGTAGAATATCCTATTATATCATATATAATATAATGAAGATATAATGATATATATATAATGATATAATATATAATATAATGATATAATATAATGATGTAATGAAGATAATGAATATCTTCATTTAGGGTAAATATCAGATCGAGCATGGTTGGTTCACCTTCTCCTCTCATTCTTGTTGGTTCCTTGATGTGCTGGCTTAGAAAGTATCTTGCTGCCACGTCCAGCAGCTTAGCTCTCCATGTTTCTGGGCCTCCATGCGAATCTCTGTTCTCCCAGTCTATTTTCCCGTGGTTGCAGTCTCGCATGACCAGCCGTCCAGATCCATTCCTGCTGGCAACAGGAGCTGCTCTCTCTATTATGTTAATGGTGGCCATGTTTCTATCATATTCCTGTCTGGGTCTTTTGTCATTTGGTGGTGGATTATATATGACTACGAGTATAATTTTTTGTCCTCCACTTGTTATGGTACCTGTTATGTAGTCACTGAAACCCTCACAGCCCTGAATAACCATCTACTCAAAGTCCCAGCCCTTTCTTACCAGCAGAGCTACACCACCACCGCCTCTTCCTTCTCTCTCTTTCCTCATAACATAATATTCCTGTGGGAACACTGCATTTGTTATGGTTTCTGTGAGTGCTATTATGTCTGGGTTTTCCTCTAGTACCCATTCTCCAAGCTCATTTGCTTTACTTGAAATTCCATCTATGTTAGTGTACATTGCTCTGAGGCTCGCTTTCTTCTGTCCCTTCTCAAATCGCCTCCTTGGTGAGTGTTCTGCTGGTGGAGGAAGCTGTTCCATGGGTGTGAGGATTTGTGAGGTGGATAACAGGGTCTCAGAGGATACTGGGGTGAGGGGCAGGGTTCAAATGAAGGGGGGGGGGGACAGGGAGGGTATGGGATGAAGGGGGAGGGAGGACCGGAAGGAAAAGGGGGTAAGGGGGACATGGCAGGAGGAGGGAAAGGGTAGCAGGGTGGGAATAGGGTGTGGGGGGAGGAAGATTTGGCTGAGCTTTTGAGTGGGGGGCAGGGAGGATTTGGGGTAGGGAGGTTTTCTATGCAGAGGAGGGTTGTGTGGTTGCCCACCCCTCTGGTGTTACTGGGTATCTGGTTGTGGGTTTCCCCCTCACCTCTGGGGATGTTGTGTTGGGAGCTGCGAGTTCCTGGTTTTCCTCTCTCGCCCTGCGCTTCTTCCTTGCTTCTGCCGCCATGGCTCTCTCCTCCCTCGTCATGTCACTCTGGAGGAATACTTTTTTTAATTCTCCCACATGTTGCAGGTGGCTTTTCTTTGTGAGAATCATCTCCTTTGTGTTCTCATTTGCAAACACTATCTTTAACACACGGTCTCGGTCTTTGTTGTACCTGCCTAGCCTGAAAACCACCTCAATTCTATGCTCAGCCCCTTCCATCTCTAGTGCCTTCAGTATTTCATTCACTGCTGCATTGTCCTTATCATTCCACTCTGTCCTGTTGGAACCTTCCTGCTCTTTAATTCCCACAGCTGCCACTGATCTTTTTCTTTCCATCAGCTGGGTAGTGGAGCATGCCACTTCCTGTGAGGTGGCTGCTTTCATGTATGTTATTTTACTGTGCAGATTTGGGACCTGACCCTCCAGTATTTTCCACGTGTATATTATTTGATATATCTGCCGTCGTCTTTCTAGCGAGTACATTCGGAGAGCTTTGAGACGATCCTAATAATTTAGATGCTTTATCTCGTTTATGTATCCCGTATATGTTCTCTGTACTCCCTCTATTTCAGCAATCTCTCCTGCTCTGAATGGGGAAGTGAGTACTGAGCAGTACTCAAGACAGGACAACACAAGAGATTTGAAGAGTACAACCACTGTGATGGGATCTCTGGATTTGAAAGTTCTCGTAATCCATCCTATCATTTTCGTAGCTGCCACAATATTTGTTTGGTTATGCTCCCTAAAATTTAGGTCATCAGACATCATTATTCCAAAATCCTTTACATCCTATACAACCTGATGCTGGCCAGGGGCAATAATAAACAGCTACTATCTTAAAAAAAAAAAATCTTGAGTAAGCTGCATTGAAAGGAGGGCTTCAAATTGTATCAAGCTACCATGGTTGATGCATGATCTGTGAAGGGCAGAGCTCGCCAGCTAGCTTAAATGTGTGGTGGAGCGTGGACACCGCCATTTTGAAGCCCTCATGAGTGCACACAGAACACCAAGTCTAGTTTCATTAATACGAGACTTAAGTCTTCCTTGTTGGGTATCTGAAGACAGTGTATGTCAACAGCTGTCCGTTGGCACCACAATGGCCGTTGTGGGTGCCAGCATAAGAAAGTTACAGCTATAATGTAATGTAGAAAGTTACAGGTATAATGTAGAGTACAGCAAAAACTAAGGATGCAAATATCCCATTATAGTGGGGCATGGTACTGAAGAGAGGATGTGGTTGGCAGGTCAAGACCTTTTCCAACAATCAAGTAAACACAGGCCTCCTGTGTTTACCGATACATATTGACATAATTTCCAGGTGATTGTGCGGTTTATATATACCGTTATTCTCATTTAATTGATGCCTGTGAGATATTGTTTTGTTCTGTCTCATACCAGAGAACCAGAGATTGAGTAGTTAATTCATTGTTCAGTAATTGTGAGTGGATTGTCTATGTGATACCCTGATGGTATTGTCATTATTATCCTTATCATTACAGTACTTGATTATTGTGGGATTAGTGCTGTATTGTACTTTAGTCCATTTGTTGTGAAGTACGGTGGGTTATTGTGTTGTAATTGAAGGGAACGAGTGATATCTGTTACCTGCTGTTTGTATGATAGTGTACTTAACGTAATTCATCTTGACTGATTAACTGTCTGTGGCAGCCTGTTAAGTAATTACTTACTGATTGTGTAATTGTCTTGGCGACAGATTGTACTTGACGAAAATTGTCTTTGATTATCTGAAGTTGTTGTTGTTGTTTAAGATTCGCTACTTGGAACAACAAATTCCAAGTAGCACGGGCTATGGTGAGCCCGTGTTATCTGAAGGACAGTAGTTAACATAATTAAGTAATTGTATATTTTAATTGGATTGATTGCAATTGAGTGGTTCTTGTCCTTGTAACAGAATCATTAACATAATTAACCATTTGATTTAATTGCCATCCCAGGGACGCGTGTTAATGTAATTAATTTGATTATTACAAATTGTCTTACTGACAAGCCTGTCACTGGTTGATTGTTAATTATCCTTTTGTTTTGCTAATTGTAAGTGTTGATTACAAATCAAGTTCAAGTGTTACCATTGTTCAGTTAATTCACTGTTGTTGTTCTCTGCCCAAGCAAAAGAGTCCAAGACATGTTCTCATGATTTTACCAACTGTGAGCAGTGGGACAGATTCCTACTGTACAGGTAATTGAATAGCTGTCAATTGAAACTCAAGACATTAATGTAATTGTTAACTTTGTCTTGTGTTGTATTAGTCAGTAAGTTTGTTGAATAAATAATTTTTAAATGCCAACGTGTCTTTACGTCATACCTTCCAAGAGTACTGCCTCCTAAGAGTGCCCCTGCTGCAAGTTACAATCTTATCTTGTGAATTTAACTGGTGTTGGCTCTTAGGATCAAACCTAATCATAGCCCAAACATTAAATACCTGTACTTAAATTTGGTGTGAGGACCATTGGCTACCCTTAAGATGGCTACAAGCAATTGAGGAGCAACAACCTAGTGGTAGGAGTGCCAGGAAACTGGACTCTGGCATTTGCCTATATTCTCATCGAGTTTTAAATATCACATCTGGCATCCACTCATGAAGCTAGATTGCCCAGGAACTATAGTCCAATCAAGGTATATAATACCACATCTGGCACCCAATGTGGGCCCTGAGGGGTATTTTGCAGTTGCCAGAGATATACTCGAGAGATATATAATCTCACACGATCCTCTGCCTCACAATGCCACTGTCTACACAAATGCTAACTGATGAAGAAATTCAAGATAGACCGTTTCTGGCATACGAGGAAAATTACTTTGATGAAGATTATGATCAGGGCTCAGAATGAAGTGATATAAACAGTGATATTGACACACACGTGTGTACCCAGGGTGATGTGTGCACCCTCACCACTGCTGCTATGCCCCCATTCCGCACCACCACTCTCACCATCAGACAAGCCATATAAGTCTGTGCAACATGCTGTTCCTTTGGGCCACAAACCTATGGAATATGACTCATTTTCTGGATTTAGTGATGTGGAATCTGATAATAGTTTTAGCAGTATATGTGGTGTTACCAGGCATAGCTCTGCCACCAACTTCTCGCCCAGTGAAATACTGCCATGTGATGTCACATGGGAAAAATGAGGGAAGAATGCCCTCATCTTTACCTTATATGCCATTCTCTTCATCTGTTCGTGCCTGCAGTATGTGTAGTAGACAGGCTTCATCTCCTAGCTAACATACTTTTGTTGGTACTAGGATACATAGCTGTGGTGTTGGTGGTACCACCAGTAGAACAGCAGGTGGGGAGTTGGTGCTCACTTTGTTTCACAAATTTGATGTTACAAATATAGGGGTTACGGACGTTTCCCATAAACTGGTGAGAACATGAGTGAAATGAACTGTTTTATGGCATACTTCAATTATACAATTTATGCATACAATTGACACCAAGTGCCCTCGACATCCATTCATTTCCCACTCCCTTTCTTGGAAGAATGCCACATATGATCGGGATTCCTCCCTTGCTCCTAACTAAAATTGTGTCCATTCATCCACTTGAATGGATGAATGAGCTGCTCATAGAACATATTGTTCAAGAAACAAAGATATGTGGCCTTATGTGTAGCGGGAGTGTGTTGAAAGGTCTTTTCAAGAGAGATATTTTGCACATCCTGCCATTCCACCTGGTCTCATATGATGTTATTCCCATGTACAGATTTAGAAACAGTCTGTCTAATATTTTCCAACTGCAGATTATTATGTATCTCTCTCGCCTGTCCTCTAGAGCATATAGATTTAAACATTTTAATTGGTCCCAATAATTTTGATGTTTTATTGAGTGGATTGCAGCAGTATTCCACTCTAGAGAGAACTAGTGTCTTGAAGAGTATCATCATTGGTGTATCATCTCTTGTTTGAAAGGTTCTTTTTATCTAATCTCATTTTTCTTGCAGTTATGACAACTGCTTTATTGCATTTTTTAAAAATAAGGTCTTTTGACATGATTATACCCAGATCTTTTAAATTGTTCTTTTGTTCTATGGTGTAATTTGACCGCTTTATATATATTTTTTTTAATTTTTCACTTTTATATTTTTGTTTTTTCCATAGTGCAGGAACTGGAACTTATCTTCCTTAAACATCATATTTTTGTGGCCCATTGAAACACCTGACTTTAAATGAGGTTTGATTGGTCAGGTCAGAGTGGAGGTTTGCTATGTGTCCTCTACGTTGTCTGCCCTCATAAAAATCCTAGTGTATTCACCTAGTTGTGCTTGCGGGGGTTGAGTTCTGCTCTTACGGCCTGCCTCTCAACTGTCAATCAATCAACTGTTACTAACTACTAACTAATTATATACTTTTTCACATGCAGTGTCATCTGCAAAGGATGACACAGTACTATGGTTTGTGTCCTTGTCTATATCCGAAATGAGAATGATAAAAAGTGCTGCAGCAAATACACAGTATCCTAGGGGGACTGAGCTTTTCAAGTTGGATGATTCGGATTTTACTTCATCAATTATTACACACAGGATTCTGTTCATTAAGAAACTGAAGATCTATCTTCCTATTTTTCCAGTAATTCTTTTTGAGTGCATGTTGTGGGAATGCCAACGCTGGGCCATCTAACTGGGCACACAACCTAGACCGCTACAAGTAGGCAAAATGAACTTGCAAAGCGGTAGCCACCTAATACACACTAACTTTATGTGGAGGGTCAGATAAAAGTGTCAACATGGGAAGTGGAAACCCACAGAACTCTGGGTTGTAAGTGTCTTTGACCTAACAGGTGGTATGGCAGAGGTAATACGAATGATCATATCCCCTATGGCACATATGATGAACAACCCTCAAACTTGCACAAGGCAAGAATGGACTTGGAGGGAATTTCCACAGCCCAATTAAACCTGTAGGGGATTTCCAGGGCCTGATGAATAAACCAAGCAGGACTCCCAAACAATGGGGATGCCACGCCAGACCTAAAAGTAAGCCGACTAAACAGCTGTGAAGGCCGACTTTGGTGCACCATATATACAAGTTTGCATGCCACCAGTGCACCCCACCAACCAAAGCTCACTCCTAACCCAGGTCAAGACAGAGAGGCAACAAGACTCCTGACTCACCCAAGGCAAGGGCACCCCAAGCAGGAAGGATCTTTAAGGGAGCACACTCTCGAACACACCAGAGAAGAGAACTCTGTTAGTGCAGGGGCAGCACTAGAGAGCACTTGGGGAAGGTAGCCCTGAGGACATGCAGCTCAAACCACTCTAAAAGCTAAATCCATACAATATCCACAGTGTACACAACAAAGCACACAGGGAAACACTTAGCTGAAAAGCACAAGGGTCAGCCACAGCTACTGGGTTCCTACTACAGATATCTGGAAGGTTATGCATCGGTGGCGGAATTGAGGGCTTGAGCCAGTGGACAGCCTGAGCTCAGACCCCTCTGCCTCCACAAATGATTGGGAGGGGCAGGACAAACTAGTGCATGCTTTTTTCAAGAAATATGTCATCGTTTGTTTACATTGTTGGGGAAGTTCATTTGGTGGGTTGTGAAGCTTCAGTCTTTTTGAACCCATGCTGTGGTCTGTACTAGTTTGCTGACTTTCTGGGTGCCCCTACTTGGTGAGGTGGCAGTGTCACCTGCTCTCTGTGCCTCTGTGAGGAGGGCCAGGTTTTGACTCTGGTCCCTGGTAGACCAAATTCATTCCCACAGCTTATATAATCTACTAGTTAGGGGTCATCTCTGCAAGAGTGCTTCAGGGATCCACAAGGAGTTCCTCCCTAGAAACAGACTATATGAATCTAACCTTTTCGTTTTGCTTTCCGTTGTGGTTGGGGAACCCTACTGTGACGGAAGTCTCGACGATGTTGAGGATTTTTTCGATAACAATCAACACCAAATTCACACTGAGGTCGGTCATCATCTGAATCTTCAGAGCCTGAGGGATTTTCATTGTAGTCTGAATCCCCATAATGAGCAAAATCTGCTCGATGTTTGGGGTTCTTCCTGAAAAAAATAAGCCAGAAACTAGTGACATTTCTCATATATGTTTCTGTGTGTTTGATTTACAAACAACACAAAACAATATAACATTTCACATTACAAGACAAATAAAAAATAACTTGTAGATGTGAGTTGATCAAAGCTAATTGATGGAGACATCGCCAGTCCTATACTAGACATATTGCAAAATGTGATATTTCTAAATATCATATTCATCAGATAGAATTTGTTCTTGTTTGCAAGATTCATTATTATGTTAATTTGTAATTTCCATCCGAGATATTGTTAATACATTTGCTTTGTATTATTCCATATAGTATGTAATAAACAGGGTTAAGTAAAGATAGATTAAGTATTCAAGTCTTTAAATATATTCTGATCAACTCAATTTACTTAGCTATATCAACTCTACCATGGACAAGCTACTAAGGCCCATTCATCTGGATATTGATCCCGACTCGCCTACAACAGCCAAAGAGTGGAGACACTGGCATCGGAAATTTGTAAACTTCACTGAGGAGTCTTAAAGAAAATGTTCTCGACAAACTCAGAACTTTGGTGAACAGTGTATCACATAGTGTATATGAATGTATGACCTTTGAAAAAGCCACATCAATGCTACATAGTGTGTATGTGAAAACTTGCAATGTGATATTTGCTAGACTCCTCTTAGCTATATGGCAGCAGCAGCAGCCTAGTAGGACCTTTGATGAGTTTCTGAGAGAACTATGTAAACTCAGCAAAGATTGTGTTACAATCAAGAATTACCATGACCTACAAATGTAGGAGTTTTGAGGAGGGCACTGGAAATGTTCGCTTATTATACCAAATAGATCCCTAATTTTTATTACACGATTCAACCTTAGGTAAAAAGTAAGATTTTTCCACTGGGTGAAGCAGCCTTGGCTGCTTTTGAAGTCTTAAAAAACGATATGTGGATGCAACTCTAAAATCCAGGTACTCCAATCATAGGATTATGCCTAAATGATAAGAGGCTATCTTGAGGTTATCTTGAGATGATTTCAGGGCTTTAGTGTCCCCGCGGCCCGGTCCTCGACCAGGCCTCCACCCCCAGGAAGCAGCCCGTGACAGATGACTAACTCCCAGGTACCTATTTACTGCTAGGTAACAGGGGCATTCAGAGTGAAAGAAACTTTGCCCATTTGTTTCTGCCTCGTGCGGGAATCGAACCCGCGCCACAGAATCACGAGTCCTGCGCGCTATCCACCAGGCTACGAGGACCCAAGGACTACGAGGCATTAGGCATAGTGCCACAAAATATAAAGTCAGTGTCCTCAACGCTTATATTCGTCAAGCCCTTACCCACTGCTCTGAATGGAGCAATGTGAGTAGGGAGTTTGAAAGAATAACACAGGTGTTGGTGAACAATGGATACAGTAACAAAGAGAGAAACAGTACTATAAGATGACACTTGGATCGGTGGAACAATTTTGAACCAAGAACAGAAACTGCAACACCTCCAATAAAATTGTATTACAAATCAACCATGCATAGTGAACATGAGCAAACAGTGAACATTAATACATGAGCACCCTCTGCCTAAGTAACCAAGATCCACCACCACCGGACCCTTTGATTCTTCACAAAAGTCCACAAAACGAGGAGAAGAAGGAAAAGAAAGAAACCGGTCCAAAGACTAGGAAGGCTTAGGTGGCGCACGAGAAGGCCGGAGGTGAAAAAATGCACGTGAAATCTTGCAGAACGTAGATGAAGTAACATCCACCCCGAACGCAAGCTGGAGCGGTTCTGCCAACACCGTGTGATACGAGGCAACAGTATTCGGCATGAGATGCTGGTACAGAAAAACTCAATAGTAAAAGGACAAAACAACCCTGTCCGAAATCGACGGAAACCCCAGAAGAGAAAAGAAATGACGAAAAGATGGCCAAGATTCTTCATACTGTCACCTAGAAGAAGACCGCAGGAGGGACACCATCAAAGAAGCCACCCGATCAAAGAAATGGCGATACACCTGCATCAGAAAGATCAGACGCGAAGTGCAGAGCAGTAAAGCAAACCAACAAGGTACCTCACTGGCCCAATCTACCAAAAGACGTGGAGCCGCAGAAAGATGCCCGGTGTCAAAAGACACAGACACAGCAACCAGACTTCCTGGCTGGCAGTCTGCTAGGCAGGAAGACTCTGAAACCTCATAACACACCCAATATGGGGAAGACGAACTGAACTCAAAAGAAGCCGGATCCATCACCAAGGCATAAAGCAGGTCTCACAGAAGGTACGCACCAAGGGCTTCCCGAACTGCCTTAAGGAAAATCTGAGGTTCGTCGCCACATGACAACAAACCACGTCAAGGTTTTGAGAGATTAGGTAAAGATAAATGCAAGATAAATTGCAAGATATATGTGAAAATCTTGCAAACCTGTTCCGTCATTCCTCCATTTTCTGATGGTGGAAAATCTAATCCAAGGAACCCAAAGGCACCCATAAACGAACCTGGGGGTGAGCCGCTCCTAACGCGCAGTCATACATGGAGAGAGGTATGAAAAACCCTGCCCCTGCAGCAACAATCCCTGCCCAGAAGGCACAAGGGCCCAAGCATGGTTAAACGGTGTCTAAGTGCTCCAAGCGGACTTTCCCGGGAATCCCCGACACAGGCCCTGGGGCAGAGACCTCTTCCACGCACACCACACCCTGAAGAAAAGGCAGAGTTCAAGGGAAAGGCTTCCAAGAAGGAAGGCGGCTGGGATGAACTGGAAGCCTCGGCGGGAAGAACGGGCTCAACCACCTCCGCTCCCGAATTGGAAGGGGCAGCCCCCGAAGCCAGCCAAGCCTCATCCCAAGCAAAACACTGCCCCTGACTCCAAAACCCTCAGACATTTGGAAGCCGAAAGCAGGGGCTAAGGGTTGGAGCAGGGCAAACCGCGTCCTCCTGGGAAGGAAGCGGGGCGTGGATGGAACCAAGCTCAAAGACACCAACGCCCCAAAGCCTGGTCCCAAAAACCCAAGCGGGGCAGCTCCGGGGCCTCCAACCGAGCAACCAACCTGGTGCATTGCAAAAAAGAGAAGCGAGCTCGCAACGCCACAACAGCCTGAATCGTATCATCCTCAGACGAGAAACTGTTAAACAGAAGCACAAGCGGGGAACAAGTCCCGCATGATTCAGAGTCATAGGTGTCACTGACCCAACAGGCTGCATGGAAGAGGCAGAAGGGGTGATCGTCCCCCTAAGGCAGGGGCGACGAACAACTGTCAACTTCGCACAAGGCGAGAGTAGACGGGATGGTTCCTCGTTACCGAGCCCACTGGGTTTTCCAGGGCCCGCAGGATACTTCAGCCCTAAGGGAAGCCCAGGCACTAGGGCCAGCTAAGCTGGTAGAGCCCCTGCTCAAAAAAAATCAAATCGACCACCAGTAGCAATGGTGAAACCTCGGGGGCAACGGAGGAGGAAAGCCAAAACAGCCTAGGCTAACCTAATAAGCAGCTAAACAGACCTCCTCCATTCTCAGAGGGCAAAACGCCAGAAAATTAAATAAGAACAAGCCTCCGAAACCACACCACAAGCAAACTAGCAGCTGGAGACAAAACGTTGGCCGTCACATAGGTAGTAAGCAGACTATGCCAGCCTCAGTGCAGCCCCCACCCCAACCAATAATACTTCCCTAACCGGGGCATGACGGAAAGCCTAAAACCCCCGACTCACCACACGGGCGAGGACAATGTCAATGTTGTCTCCAGTAGGCCACAGAACTCTGATGGGACCTAGTAATATGGCACATTATCAAGGATATTAGCTTCAGGGAACCACAAGGGGCTACCCTCAGAAAAGTATTCACACACTCACCTATAACAGCTGGCTCCATACTGACAGGTTTCTCTGGGAACTTTCCTTTGGGAAAGAGCTGGACTGGGCAGGGTAGATGTGGTTGGCAAGGGAGCATCTGTGCTTACACTATCTGTGCTGTGAGATGCCTCATTAATTACATCCTCTTCATTGTCACTCACAACATGGTTCTTGCTTGGTGAAAGTTGATGTTTTTTGGATAACTGGTTCTTTTTACTGGGGTTCTCAGTATTGCTGTCATCTCTTTCCTGGCCGATGGACTCGGTATCTTGTTCACTATTTTCATCGCTCATATCATGAAGAATTTTAGTTCTGTGTGTTTGTGGAGAAGATCTTTTTTTGGGTGAAGATGTTGCCTTCCTTGTTGTGGACTGTTTATTTCTGATTGGAGAACAATTGTTTGCTTTATTTTGTTTTATCCTTGGACCTTGAGCATCGCCAAGCTCAGCAGTAGATCCCGTCAATGCTGGACGTCTGCTGGACACTTCGTTTTTGTCTCCAGTATTTTGATTTGCCTGTGAACAAATGTTTCTCATAAGAATTCCTTTCAATTAAATATTTGAACATCCAGCCAAGTATACTGCTGTATAGAGTAAAAATAAATTATACCATCCAAGAATATATTTTCATAGATACAGTGGTACCTCGGAATACGAGTGTCCCTGCATACGAGTTTTTCGGAATATGAGCAGGATTTGCTCGGAAAATTTGCCTCGGAAGGCGAGGGTTGCCTTGGAACACGAGGGTGTTAATACACGTACAGGCCGACTAGCACGTGGTGGCACAGCGATCGCGCCTCAGTTTACCAGTGTTTTGCGCCCAGTGACTATCCCACCTGAATTCTTCACAAGGATTTACAGTTTTTTGTAGATTTTTTTGCCATTTGAGCATAAAAGTTGTTATTATATCTCGCCATGGGTCTCAAGAAAGCCATTGGTAAGGTTCAACCTAAGAAAATAGCTGTGAGTAGAGGCAGTGGAGGATGTCCCTTCTTGATTAAGAAAATGTGTGAAGTATGGGAAGAACTGCAAAGTTTTGTTGAAAAAACTCACCCAGATAAAGCTGTAGAAGGTCGTTGCATTGACCTTTTAAATGACAATGTGATGTCTTACTACAGACAAGTGTTAAAATGTAGGGAAAAAAAGTGTCTTTAGACAGATTCTTAGTAAGACAAGCAAGCAGTGAGCCACAACCAGGTCCTAGTGGTATGCAGGCAAAATGTGCCAGAGTGTGCTCACCAGTGAAATCCTCACTGCCTGATGTTCTAATGGAAGGGGACTTCCCTTCCAAACAGTAACACCTCTTCTCCTCCCTCCTCTTCACCATCTTCCATATGCCAACAGCAGTCATCAGCAAGGGTAAGTAATAACTTGAAAATAGTTTTGTAGGTTTATTTAGATGAATTAAGTATAAAATTTAGTTTGAAGTGAGGTTTTTGGGTAGTCAGGAACAGATTAATTCATTTCCCATTATTTCTTATGGGGAAATTAGCTTCGGATTACAAGTTTTCACAATACGAGCTGTCTCCAGGAACAAATTAAACTCTTAAACCGAGGTACCACTGTATTGAACTAAATGGATTTATTGAATTTATATAAATAAAAATTTGACATATAAACCTAATTTGTGAAAACAATATTAAATTAATATCCATCAAATATCACTTTTTATGATAATCCCAATTACTGATACAGTAGAGTACTGTACAGTACAAGCAAATATACCATTTTCGGAGGGATCAGGCCCCAGGTGCTAACAAATAACTCACTCTTCTGAATGTGAAAGCCCAAGTCTTCAGAAAAAATTTCTTTCCCTATAGGGGTGTATTTTGGTTAATTTGTTTCCTGAACACATATTTATTATATTTTCATCTTGCATTATTTTTAATAACTTAGTTTGATGTGCAAATATATATACAGTACAATATTGTATTTGTGAAACAGAAAATACAATACAGTATATATATGATAGTCAATACCAGTGGAGTGGGTGTGGGTGCCAGTAGTGGCCGGCACACACCAGGGGCCACATTCACGAAGCACTTACGCAAACACTTACGAACCTGTACATCTTTTCTCAATCTTTGAGGGCTTTGTTTCCAATTATTAAACAGTTAAGGAGCTCGGAAGTACCAGGAGGCTGTTTATAACAATAACAACAGTTGATTGGGAAGTTTTTCATTCTTGTAATCTGTTAAATAAATGTAACCAAAAGCCGTCAAAGATTGAGGAAAGATGTACACGTTCGTAAGTGCTTGCGTAAGTGCTTTCGTGAATCTGGGCCCAGGCCTCCAATGGTCGGTAGTTGGTCCTGTTACATAAGACACAGAACATAATACACGAATTTGCAGCGGTGTGGCAAACCCTATGGAGGGTTCATCTTTCATCAGGGTTCATCATCCAGCTCCATAACAACTGCTCACCAGTGGTTCATTTACTGAACATGGGAGAGGGGGTCGCTTCGGTCCTTCACTCTTCAGAGCCAGACTCTTTGGACAATTTGGCTTCTAGCTTCTTGGGGTTTGGTTCCCTACACAGTTCATGTGGGGCGTGTCCAATGTTCTTGTACATGGCTTATCTCACATTCGGCCCATTTCAATGGAGTGGAGCATTGGCAGCACATAAACATGTCGGCTCTGAGAGACATTCAGTCACCCTGAAGCAATCTCAGCAAGATAGCTTCAGGGAGCCACCGGGGCTCATTCAGAAAGAGGCATTTGATTACATTTAATGCTGGGGTTTTCAAACAAACAGTTGTGAATAAAGCTAACTGATGCTATTTGTTAATTTCCTATTTTTTTCGCTTGTAGCATATCATAAACCTGTTCCACTTTACAGTATAAAGTACATATAGAAATTACCGTTATATTTTAATTTATTAAATTAAATTTAATTAAGTTATAAAGATAAATCGTCATGACACTTACCTGAAATGCTGGTAAATTTTTAACAGCTGTCTTTCTTTTTGAAGTAGTCGAGTGTGTTTTCTGACCTGCACCATGAGGATGCAAATTACCTTTTTCTATTTGTTTTCCTTTGTCTATAGTCACATCATTTTTAGCCATCCAAGCAGGCAAATCTCTCTTCCTTGTAGATACAGCTGACTGGACTTCCTGTGTAATGAATTTCTCTAATCATTGCCAACTCGTAAGACATTGATATGCACACAGCTATAATTTACACACATTATTCCACTTACATTATTTACTACAGTTCTTATAATCACAGGAAAATAAGGTGTTTAAAATGCACAAAAATTCACACATCTGAGACAAAATAAGCATACTACTAGTACTGTATAATGCTTTGGTACATAATCGTTCCTTTTCTATGTGTGTATGTCAAGTATTAATTAGTTCCAGCCACTGTACAGTATTTTAACTTGTTACAAAAACAATTTAAAAAAAAAAACAGCAGTGAATGTAATGAAACGCCATTTTCTGGGTGAGCCCCTTCGGCTCCCTGGAGCTACAAGACTGATATGCGCTATATTAGTCTGGGGCTTTAGTCAATGGAGTCCTGTCTATCCTCAGAGAGAGCTTAAGGAGACCCCCCCTCCTTGTATTTTGGGGAATTCCTTGTCTGCCATTGACTGGGGTTTGGCACCCAGAAAGATAGACATCTCAAAACAGACCCCAGATGATAGGAAATTGCAAAAACCCAAGACCGAACAGAGAAACAGAACTCCCCAAAGGAAAAAGAAAACAAGCAAACAAGCAATCGTCATTCACCACCGCCACACCGCTTGTCTGCACAGCCCTCTCCTCCCTGGGAGGGGAGGGCTGTCGCTTCATATCGTGCAGCCCTGGTGGAGCCGCTCCAGCTTGCATTTCGTAAGCTTTCTCATGCTTTATCCAACCACTTGTGGCTGGATGGTAGAGCGACGGTCTCGCTTTATGCAGGTCGCCGTTCAATCCCCGACCGTCCAAGTGGTTGGGCACCATTCCTTCCCCCTCCCTGTCCCATCCAAAATCCTTATACAGATCCCTTCCCAGGGCTATATACAGTAGTTGTAATGGCTTGGCACTTTCCCCTGATAGTTCCCGTCCCTTTTCCATGCATTGTTTCACCTCCTTCCTGCTCGTGCGGCGCCTGAGCCTTCCTGGTCCTTGGATAGGGTGCTCTCTTTTCTCTCTTCTCCTCAGTTTGTGGTGGCCCCTTTGGTTTGAGATTGCTTCCACAAGGCTCTGTTTCTGTTGGCATTGGCCTCTTTGGGGTCGGGTTGGTGAGCTTCATCCTCTCCTCTGGCGCAGAGGTTTCTGCTCTTTTGGTCTTGGTGCTTGGTGGACATTTTGTTCGGTTGCAGCAGTCTCCTTCTGGCAAAGAATGAGACAGCCAGCTTCCGGAGGGATTCGTGGATGCTCGGTTGGTCAGGCCGGGGGTGCATTGTGTGTTGTGTCCAGTTGTGGCTCTGGGCTGTTACTTGCGCGCCTTGGTCTCTGTAGCCATGGACACGGATGCGCTTTGGGTTGTTCCGATCTCTCTTTCCTTGTTCTAGGGTTCGGGTCTCTCAGGTCATTTGAAGGATTATCAAGTCTAGCCAGCCTGCAGTCTTTCCTCGTGCCCATGATGTTAGTAAGCATGCTACTTTGACTGCTGTGTTTGGCAACATCTCCTGGGCTGACGTTTGGGCACGGGAGTTTTGGAGGTCGAACAGGGTCCTGACCACCCATTATTTGGTAAATGTTACTGGTCCCAGTCGTATGTGTGTGGCCTTGGGTCGCATTTTGCAACCAGTTGTCTTGTTTGAATTCATCCACTAGGTGCGGCCGCCTCCCGAGTAAGTCCCCTCTTTTTACTTATCTTTGGTTATGTAGCTCCAGGGAGCCGAAGGGGCTCCCCACGGAAAACCAGTGTTAAATATAATGAAATGCCATTTTCTGGGTGAGCCCTGGAGGTTCTCTGGCACCTCCCTCCCTCCGGTCGGCAGTTTCATTTCTGATGCTCAACCTCCGAACTGAGGTGTGAGTAGCCAGCGTGTAAGTCCGGGGCTCCCCCTTTACCCCTCTTGGGGAGGTGAAGGAAAGACAAGGCAACCCAAACAGAAATGAAAGTCAAACTATGAAGAGGAAATGGCAAAAAGACTGCCAAGACATCTCATACTGCCGCCGAGACGAGGACCGCAGGTGGAACACCGTGAGAGAAGCCACCTGATCACCATACAAGTGGTGATACACCTGCGTCAAAAAACCCAGACGCGACGAGCGGAGTAGATCAAACCAACCACATACCGGACTGACCCGATCTGCTGGATGAGGCAGAGCCACGGAAAACACTCTGGGTTTGGACACTGAGCAAGCAAAGCAAACTCCTGCACCATGCTGTGAGCCCGACAGAAGAACAAAGCCCACCGCCCCAGGCTGGCCTAGTGAGCACAGAGTCACAAAACCCCAGCCAAGAGATGAGGCATCCGGGAACACAACGAGCATGGGCTTCTTGTGTGGTAGCCTGGTGTGGCTACCACCAATAGCTACACCAGGCAGACTCCCATCAGGCAAAGCAAACAAAAAGAAAATAAAAGCCCTGCAAAAGTACAATGTCCCCAGAGGAAACAGGAATCGGCCGCTGCGTAGGTAGCTGGCTGCATAACACCTTGATGTCCCAACCAGAACAATACTACTCCCTACCCAAGGCCAAACAAGAGCCATGAAACCCCAGGTGGCTCCAAGGGCAGGGTAGATGCCGAGCAGCAAGAACCCCTACGGAAATGGCGTCCCGAATGCACCAGGGAAGAGAACCCTGACACGCAAAGGTAGTACTCACAGGGCACTTGGGGAAGGCTCTTGAAAAAATTCTTTTGTTTTTTAAAAGTATCAAAAACCCTTTCCTCAGTATGGGGTATGTAAAAAAAAAATCGAAATTGAACTTACTTTGGCTGCTATGGAGTCTGTAAGTTGGCGCGTGACGTCATCATTCCCCGTTTGCCCGTGACATACGCTCCCAGGGCCAGTAGGGCGCCCCGCCCCGGGCGCCCTACTAGCCCCGGGAGTTGGCGCCCTACTGGCCATAGCGTGCGAGTTGCCACGAATATATTTTTGTTATTTTTTGCGCACAGTTCCAAATACATTTTATTTGTTTTTACGTGCTAATCCTATGTATAATGAACACGTATGCTATATTATGGCAGTAAAACACCCGTACTGTCCGAAGACACTGTGTTACGTGCATGACACTTGTGTACACATATGTTGCACATATTTACCATGTATCATGCTAATTTATGTATATATACAATCTATTTACAGACTATACACTGTCACACACTATATACATTCACCATCATCACATTCAGAAGACCGCGAGTGTGAGCAGCCACACCCAGCCAGTCTCCCTCACTCCAACATCTTACTCGCCAACATTGCTCTTCCCACCATACTGTTATTGTTTTTATTACACTATTTACACATGTTATATATACCTATCTACATGTTTTATTTACCAGAACTATGCAAGTAAGCCGGTATTGTATCCAAACAGTACAGTGGCCACCATACACTGCATGAATTTATCACGTTTTCCGGATTAACATACTTTTTCACCTCGGAGTCTAAAAGGGAACATTCCAACAATTTTTACACCACAATTATGATTTGAATTGACACACTAATTAGTGCGAGGGGCTGGATGGGTGGTTAGCTGCCTGGCTGGTAGGTGGGCAGGGAAAGTGGATGGGCAGGCAGGGATAGGTGGGTTCTGGCAGGTAGGTTTTGGATGGGTGGATGGCAGGCAGATGGGCTTGGTGGGTGAACCAACCTGTCCTCTTAAAAATATCGTCACTTTTCACTGGTATGCGCGCTATGGCCAAATTTGGACGTAATCTGAAATGATATCGACTCACAAAAGGGACGTACTGTCCTGTTTTCCGTTTGAGTCGTCCGGCTTACTCGGCAAGCTTAGAAAAGGAAACTTTCCATTAACGTTTTTCATACCGTTTTGAAACTTTATGAGAATTTCCTGCCCACCTAACCTATCAGAGGACCCTTAACTTACTGTTGTTGAAAAAAAATCCAAAATTTATTTTAATTTTGTTTTCATTTTCAAATTACGTCCATATTCGGCCATACTGGTAAACGGCCAAAAGCGACGTTCTTTTAAAGAGGACAGGTTAGGTGAACAGGTGGGTGGGTTGGCAGATCTGAGCAGGCAGGTGGGTGGGTTGGCAGGTGGGCAAGTGAGCATGCAGGCAGGTGGGGGAACAGGTGGGTAGTGGGTGAGCAGGCGGGTGGGCGAGCATTCAGGTGGGTGAACAGGTGGGTGGGTGGGCAAGCAGGCAGATGGGTGAGCAGATGGGTGAACACGTGGGCGGGTGGGCAAGCGGGCAGATGGGTGAACAGGTAGGTGGGTGAGTAGGTGGGTGGGTTGGCTCATGCAGGCAGGTGGGCGAACAAGTGGGTGGGTGGGCGAGACTGGAAAGAGACAGATCACAGGTCTGTGATCTCCTTCCTGGTCACCTCCTCCCCCACCTCACTCTAGCCTTCCCAACTCCCCTCCACGTATGTCAACACGTAGGTGTTGACATGCTGTACGATGACTAACGTGTGCGCCTCAAGTTCTGTTAAATCCCATTTTATTTTCTTGTAAATATTTAAATGAATAAACAGCAAACGAAATACTGTACAGTTCAAATATTATAGCGTGTTATTTAATATTCGTAACTAGCTCTCCACGGCAATAAGAAAACAATACAAGTAATTCTTGCAACACCTCCAATGCCACCTTCCTTCGGTAGGTAGGCTTAAGTGAGTCACATCTGGTACCCACACACTTAACACTTTTCCCTCCCTCCCTCCTTCCCTTCCTGACCGACTCCCTCCCTCCCTTCCTCCCTGCCCGACTCCTCCCTCCTTCTCTCCCCACCTGATTACCTCCCTTCCTCCCTGACCGACTCCCTCCCTCTCTGATCGACTCCCTCTCTCCCTTCCTGACCAACTCTCTCCCTCCCTCCCTTCCTGACCGACCCTCTCCCTCCCTCCTTCCCTTCCTGACCAACTCCCTCCCTCCCTCCCTCCTTCCCTTCCTGACCAACTCCCTCCCTCCCTCCCTCCTTCCCTTCCTGACCAACTCCCTCCCTCCCTCCCTCCTTCCCTTCCTGACCAACTCCCTCCCTCCCTCC